AAATTGTTTGGAAAACACCACGGCATGGCGATGCTCGCGCTGACCAGCAAAACCTACATATTGTACAAAAGACAAGCTAAATTGAGTCACCAATACACTGTTAAAAATTTCCTGTAGAAATTACATTGCGGTTAGAGTTTCATGTAAATCAGGGAGGGCTAAAACATCATCATTGGTCCACTAGTTCTAGATTGACAGCTCCTCCTCAGCCAATCAGATGAAGAGGGGCGGTGACGTCACTCCAACGTGCCTCATTACTGTTGATGCTCAGTGTTCTGTGTTCACTTGTACAGGTGAAAATGGACAACTGTCGGCTGGGAAACATCTTTCCATACAGGACACCGTTATATGCGTCTGTCTGTCACTGCTGTACGCCTACCTGGCGACCCGTTAACGTTAAATGAGTAAATCTGTAAATTAATTTTTAATTAATGTAATGTTTTTGCATTGAAAACGATAGTGCTACAGAGTAGACAGTTACAGAGGCCAGGTTGATTTGATATGCACAATGATTTATTTGCGTGTTGTGTTTATTTGCATATCTACATATATAATTGCCTAACACTATCATATTAATGTTTCAAATACATAAAGTTATACATAACAACAATATGAAAGTAAAACAGCCAGTAGGTGGCGGTAAGTTACTGTCTTTAGAATAAGACATTAAATCATTCATTCAAATGGCTGATTCATTCAGTGAGGAATAAAGTGAATCATTCAATCCGTGTGTTGCTTGTGTTGCTTGTAGAGGACCCTGTTCTGCTGTGGCTTTATTTGGACTCTTTGTCGAAATGGAGAAAATAGTGAAAATAGTTACTATTAATAGTAAACTCACTCAAAATATACTTCTTGTTATATTGAGTCAGTTCAATAAACATTTGCAATGGTCCTGATATTAGGAAAAAACTCGTGTTTTGCTTAACTGTATGTCATAAAATTAATTATAGTGCCATTCTTTACAAACAACATTTATTTTAAATGCTAAGCCTATATTAAAACTTAAAACTAAACTAAAAACTGAACCTCCTGCTGGGCTCACATACCTCTCATTTCCATGAGTTAGACGCGGTACGCGGTGTAACATTTGGTTGATAAACTATTAGCCTATTTATTTTGTAAAGAAGGCTTTGTACTTCTCTCGTATCTGAATATCTACTTATTACTTAAACAACATCCTTCACATATGCAATAAATTTGTTTGGAAAACCACGGCATGGCGATGCTCGAGCTGACCAGCAAAACTGTACAAAAGACAAGCTAAATTGAGTCACCAATACACTGTTAAAAATTTCCTGTAGAAATTACAGTAACTTACTGGCAGCAGTTCGCCAGTAACTTACTGTAAATTAAACTTACAGTAAAAAGACTGTATTAATATTTACAGTACCATTTAACTTGCTGTAAATGTATTTACAGTATGTATACTGTACTTTTAGTTTTTACTGTAAAATATACAGTAATTTTATGGTCTTTTCTTTAGTAACGTATTGAAATACAAGAAAAACGTTTTTTTTTTTGTATTATTTTATGAAAATAAGCAATGACAAGAAAGATGGATAAAAAGGCGCACAGCAAACAAAAACCTCGAAAAATAATATGCGACCCGCCAAATGCTGGCCGAATCACAGAGATGCCGATTCGCACGGGACTAATATTATCACAGGACCTCGGTGTTCTGCGAAATATGGTAGGTCATTTGCGGGGGAATTTTTACTTTACAAATTACAGACATGGCCGATTCGCACGGGATTAAGATTACAGACAACCTCCGCAATTATTACAAATGACTGGAGGTCACCAGGTAACTAATCCCGTGCGAATAGGGCTATAGAGAGCCATGAATAAAGTGTGACTAAATGTTTACTTTTAAAAATCACCCCTTTAACATCACTACATCATGTACTGAAAGATTTTACCAAGCATGAACAGCCTTGGATTAGAAAGAAGTCAAAGCCTGGTCTTTGCATCTGCCAGAGTTGTTGTGACCTACACACACACAAACCACACAGTTTTTCTAAGTGTCAGTTATAGCAATCATTCTTTTAAGTGGGCCATCAACAACAGGACAGCTGCATCAGTAACGTTATTCACATCTGGCACAGCAGCAGAAAGCGCAGTAACGTTACTATCGACACAGATTTCTCAAAATCACATTTATGCTTCCTACTAAGGTGTGCTGAAAATGATTACTTCACTCTAACATAGTTTTTACCGTTACTAAACTGGACATTCCGTTTTTTTACCATCTCGAATGTGTCATTTTAGGTGTTCACAAAGGCTGGAGAATAGTCGACACGACTGTAACTTACAGCCTTCCACGGTGCATCTAGAATTCAGATTGTGTTGTTCAGGTTTGTTCACTATTTTTGCGGGTTTTCTGTGTTTGCGGTTGTGCGACTGAAGTGAAGTGCGGAAAGTGCGGGGAGGCTAACGTGCATGCATACACGAAAACCTGAAGTTCGCGCTTTGGCATGATTACTAAATGCATATTATTTCTCTAAAGGGACACCACGGCGTTTGCAGACGAACATTGCGGGTTTTACGCTAGCAGTAAATGCATGCTGTACATTTATACACTTATATATGGGTAGCGCCAAGAGATTACACAGCTGTACCATTAAAAGCTCAGTTTGTTGGCCAACAATTTCATACAAGTTCACATAAAAACTCACCTGCTACCGACGTGGTCAAAACGAAGACAGAGACCTGTTTATGTTCGCACGTAAAGTACAGTTCATATTACAGTTAAATACTGTGTAATTTACAGAAATCGCTAACAGTGTACCTTTTGTATGTTTAGTTGTCTCATTTACTTTGATGATGAAGAGGCTGCAATGTAAAGATTGCAATGCTAGAACTGATTATGTTGTGTGCGCGCGGGAGGCACTGGCGCGAACAATTGGGTTACTCACATCAGCGGAAAGATGTGATATCCGTCAGATAGGAGCAAGACATCATTCAAAACTATTTTTTATCTGTGTACCTTCAAAAAAACAGTGAAACGTTGTACTTTTGTAAAATAAAGAAAACATACAAAATGCACTTGCCATGTCTGTGAACCTCTTCCTGAAATGAAGAAAAACTCAGCAATACTGTCTAACGTTATACTTGTCACACAGAATGAGAAATATATTTATAGAAACTTTGAAGTACCCACTTTTACCGGTTTACGTTTTGCTTATTTGACATTAAATGCATTATAAGTCACTTTGGAACATAAATCATAGCACGTTCAGAAGATAAAAAATGCAACGTGTAGTCCAGAAAATACCGAATAGCAAAATTTTTTGCTGGACCCCCTGGCTTTGGGTCACAACACGGACCCCAGTTTGAAAACCCCTGCTCTTACTCATATTATCCTCTCCTAACAGTAATAACCATAACAAGACTTATAATCAGTCAGGTAAAGGCGAGCCAGGCACATCAGTCACTTCGCGAGGCCAGTGCATTTAGTGGCTGATCCCTTTCGCAATGTGACCAGAGGAGAATAAATACAGGTGAATATAACCGCGACAGGTCGCTAGGACGGCTCATTTAACATTAACGGATCGCCAGGTAGGAGTACAGCAGTGACAGATAGACACATATAACGGTGTCCTGTATGGAAAGATGTTTCCCAGCCGACAGTTGTCAATTTTCACCTGTACAAGTGAACAGAACACTGATCCCTTGTCCAAATACCCACACTTGCAGTCTTTGCACTTGACCACTTTTATCATAGAGATCAACAAGGGTGGCTATAGAAACTAACCCCTTGTCCAAATACCCACACCTGCAGTCTTTGCACTTGACCACTTGACTACTTATATGACGTATGTCCTGTATTTGGCCCAAGTGTTCAAGTGAGGAAGAAGACCACAAGTGTGTGTAGAACTTTTCATTACCGTATGGGACAAACTTACAGTGTTGTAAAAATGCAAGTGTTTGCATAGCTTTATTTTAATTTTAAAAACTTTGCATTTTAAAATCAACTTCTAAATATCGGTTCAGTAGTGCCTATAACAGATGTTTAAGTTGCAGCTGCTTCTAATTAAGTGATGAAAAGCAGTTGCAAATGTTGTACAAAATAAATATCACCACTACGCATCTTTGCACCAGTAAAACGTGCAACACTGTTTTTCTACCAAATTATATGTAATAATAGCCTATCTAATTATTATATTAATATTTAATAACTTTGATAAAGAATATCTCTTTGGTTTTGAGACTTTAGTCTTTGCAACTTCAGGGATCTTATCTATGCACAATTAGCTTGTAACACTCCAAAGAGAAAGGAAAAATTGAAATTGCATCATATGACCCCTTTAATATTTAACTTGCATTGGAAAAGTTTCTGTAACCTCTCGCGAGATCTCTGCAAAAATCTTACGATTTATTCCAAAACATGATGCATGATGGGATACACTAAGCCTCGAATAGCGCTCCGGAGCCGTACTCAAGATAGTGTGGATTTAGGCCCAATCCCAATTCTATTTTATACCCCTCCACCTACCCCTTCCCCTTGTCCCTTGAAACAGAGTGTCAAGGGGTAGGGTGAAAATATTCCCCTAAGAACTGGGACACGTGAACGCGCGAAACGGAGGGGTAGGGGAAAGGGGAAGGGCTAAGGGGTAGAATTGGGATTGGGCCTTAGTGTGCGTTAAGGGCACTGCGCTTTGGCGTTTTGAAGACCTGGGACAGTCTTGCGCACGTACTTCCTGTCGCGCACACGTGCTCTCAAGTGGCCAAGACTGCAAGTGTGGGTATTTGGACAAGGCATGAGCATCGGCAGTAATGAGGCGCGTTGGAGTGACGTCGGCTAGAGGAGGAGCTGTCAATCTAGAACTAGTGGACCAATGATGATGTTTTAGCCCTCCCTGATTTACATGAAACTCTAACTGCAACATTTGAAAGAAGAAGCGCAGAAGGTGGAATAAAGAGCAAAGGGAAAAACAGCATAAGCATACAAAAAAATAAAAAATTTTATCCGCGACTGCAATACATTTGGCGGGAATATGATCCCATAGTCTAGCTGCTCCACGTTTGGGGATGACGTCAGGAGACCGCTCCAGGACTTTAGAAACAATCAGACAGTAGAGTACCAATATGAATACCCTTAGCCTCACTCGGTCCGGTATAACAGTTTTCGTCAGTTTAGTCATTTGCAGCATTTGTACCGTGAATGGTGAGTATCTTAAATTCTAAGTACTTTTTTAAAATGCTTTTTTCCCAGTTGAACCTTCCTAAAAGTATTGGATGTCACTGCTTCACTGTAACTTAAATAATTGGAGCTTTTGGCTTTTTTACTTTTGACAATAGTTAAGGACATCTTTTTATCTGTTATAATACAGAAAACACAAGGAAATGATACTGCAAGTATTGCAGTACTTAAATAGGGAATGTTTCTTATTGTAAGAAGAAGTTCCAATCCACTGCAGGGAGGTGGAAAGAAATTTGCACTGGACTGGATAATATGACTCACAACTACAAAATTCTGGAAAATAAATCTGTGCATTGTTGTATAGGAAAGTGCCTTTAATTTCTTGATCAAGCATAGTCTAAGAACCCCGTTCTACATCTAATCTTAATGAGCTCAGAGGGTAACACAAATCTCCCAGGTTTTCAGGGAGAATGTTGTGTAACGTTTCACTCATCTTAGAAACGTGTGCCTAAGAGCATTTTATGTGCTCACATTCTGTTCATGCCTTTTCTGTCATGTTGGCCAGCCAGAATGAAGCACAATGAATTCTGATGCTTCGCAAACAAAACATGAGCTGCCTTTAATTAGCTGTTTTGTGTTATTTGCTATTTATCTGTTTGCTTTGGATACATTTTGTGCTGCACTGATACTTACACACATAACAATAACACAATATGAGCTCTGTTTCATGTTCACTTATCCAGAAATATCATAGAACCTTTCCTACCCTTGAAAAGTATACATCTGCTTTTGAAAATTCACTATGTGCATTGGCTATGCTGCTCACATCTCTTATCTTTTGTACTCTCCTGATCCTGTTGAGAAGTGTGAAAAGCGTTCTTTCCCTTTTTACTCCTTTGTATCTCTCGAAGCTTAATATGCAGGACCATTCTGTCTGTTGCCGAATTATAAAATAAGATCTAATTCCAGTCTAATCTTTTGTAATTCCACTCACTCCTGCTTATGTGTGTCTTTATAGGAGATTACTGCAAGGTGAACCTGTGTCATAATGGAGGGACATGTGTGACTGGCATTGGAGAAGATCCCTTCTTCTGCGTCTGTGCTGAAGGATTTGCTGGAGATACTTGCAATGCCACCGAGAATGGTCAGAAATGTTGTTTGTCTGAATTTTCCCGGTTTAATGCTCATTTGAATTTCAGATTAGGTTTACATGGATCAACCTGTTCCCTGTGGAAAGCCTTACTGCTCAGAAGTTACTCTTTCATAGCTTAGAAAACTCAATAATAATAATAATTGTGTAGCGTAGAAATTGGAAAAAATGCTTGAATTTTGTGACGTGTTCTGATTTCCGATGGCAGAATTTGGTGTCTTGGCAAATGAACACAGTTTGAAACCTTGTTAAGATTTTTTTTTTTTTCCAGAAACAAGGAGACATCAGATTACTCCTTTCTTTAGAAGAAAAATATGAGAGACATGGGAATGAGTCTCCATTTGATTGTCTAGGAAGAACAATTCAACTTATCTCAAGTAGGCCCGGTTCCAGAATCAAATCACTGAGGGTGTTTCTGAAATTAGTGAGCGTGCTCTAGCTTCATCTATTTGGGAATGTCGTATTTTTGTCCCGTTCATTGCTATGGTTATCACTATGTCACTCATTGCAATTATGAGAGTGAATCCTGTATTTATATGTGGATATCACTCCAGTGTGTATGTGGCCATTGGTCCTCTTAGCAGCGTGAAAAACAAAACTTTAATTCAAATTCTGAATGGATTATATATAGTCTAGAAAGTGCGCAAAGAGCACTCCCTTTATAATCGCTAAAAAGTTGACACTCATCTTAGTTCACTGTGATCTTACAAAGAGTTCCATTATAATTAATGAAGCTCTTTCCACTGCACAGTGAATATCTTATTTACAGCAGGTTAACACTTTGTTTGTTATAATGAGATGATTCGCGAGCATGCATAACTCAGCACTTAACAAAAATTCCCGCATTTTGAGCAGGATTATAACTGACTTGAATACCTCTGATTGGCCATTGCAGATATGTCAGTGATTAGCTACATTACTCATCCCTGCAAAAACACGTTGTAAATAGAAACCTTTGATGCAAACACAAATACGCAAAAACGTTTCGCCAGTATCCTATTATTACAGCTTCAACTGAGGATGATTTTTTTTTCTTTCCTATGGGTTTGTTCATATTTTGATACTCACATCAGAACTTTTAACTGTTTCCACTGCAGGTCCTTGTATTCCAAACCTGTGTAAAAATGATGGGACATGTGAGGTGATCGCTAACTCCAGAAGAGGAGACGTTTTTAATGAATATGTGTGCAAATGCCAACCTGGGTTTGAAGGTGCACACTGCCATATCAGTAAGTTTTGTACCACTTATTTCAGATTTACATCAGACCCTCAATATATGTGCACTAATTAAAAGGGTTTCGAGGGAAGTTTGTATAAAAAAGAAAACTTACATTTGAACTGAACAAGCACACACATTGGGCCTTATTCATAAAAAGTAGAAGAACACATTTCTGTGTAAATACACAATAATACCAATTCTTTGTCCCATTTTATTAAAACCAACAACTTACCACCGCACCACGTCACGTCTTTAAAATTTGAACACATTGTTTTCTATCGGCTGCGCCACTTGGCGTCTGTCCATGGCGGCTCAGGGCGCTGTTCAAAATCTTGCTGCGCCACTCACATAGTTTGCTCTGTTTTGTCAAATACTGTACTTCAAACTCATCAACGCTACTTTGTTCATTCTTGAAGTGAACATTTGCCTGTTTGGTGATTAGATTGACTGCTATCTTGAACTGAATGCAATGCATCCAGTGCGATACCTGTGAGTTGTCCTAGACGGCGGTGCTGCGCTTCTCGTCCGGTGTGCGACACCCCTTATGCACAAATTGACTGAGACTCATTTGTGCCCAGTTATGTAATACATGAAGTTCCTATGATGCATTTGGTGGTCAATTCATGTTAAAACATATCTCCTTTATGATGAATCTTCTTGTGGCTGCAGGCCCACAGAGACTAGATTTCAGTTACTGTGTGCTGTACCATTTGTTCCACTTTGTTTCATTGATCTCAAGCTTATAAATGTACTGTACATACAATGGCACTGGTGTAAACACCAGACACACCCAGGATGTTGAGCAGTCAGTGGTCGTTAAAAAGAGCTGTAACCATAGTGAGTTTTAAATAGGCTTTGTTAAAATTTTCCAGTCCACACAAGTTCGTTTCCATGTATGATTTAACTCTCTGCTGCCTGAGGTCCTCTATAGTGGACACATCTATTAAAGCCATTTTTAACCATTCAGATTATGATGTTATATCCAAAGCACCATGGCTGGTTACAAAGGATCCATACTCGTAATTCTATATAACGAGGTGTGTTTTGTTCTTTGTCGGAATTACCGTAATTACAAGATTCTGACTTGCGTTAAAACTGACCACGGCAATGTCATGTGGAAATGTTCAAAAATAGCAGTGGCTTCAACAGTAAAATGTAGTTAAGTAGTGATTTCATAATATTTCTGACTGTTGTTAATATCTTAATGCAAGATTTATCTGAAAATAAACAAAAGGCATACAATTCAATTTCATGTAGCTAGAACACAGTTAAATAAAGCTAAACCTATAAGTTTATTAATAAAGCATTTGCATAACAACTGTTACTTGTTGTCATAGTTAATAGTTTACAGTGTTGCCATAGAAATGAATAATTCATAGTCCAAGGATGTGTGTACAGGTCTGAGTAGAATATCCAGGGTGTCATCTAGTAATTATGGTAATTACAACATGGCGTGAACACAGCAACTGTCCTCTTGTCATTGTGGTATTTATTTATGACTCATTCAAAACTACTGATGAAAGTGGTGATTCACCACACACCTCTGAACTCCTCTACTACTAAATTCCAGTGTACCAATGCATAATACATAATTTTGTAAAACTAAAAAGAATATTGGAAATATTTATATTCTTGTTTTGAAGTAAAGAGAAATTTGAAGAAAAAATGTTTGGTATTTCATAATTCATGAATCAAAGGGGTTAAAATACAAAGTGAAAAATACTGGTTTTTACAAATATTAGTCTAGCATTGGCACTGAAAAGACCTTCAAATGCAGCCAGGAACATGCCGGACAGACAGCTTCAATGCAATTAGGCAAGACGTAATCAAGCCAAAGAGGTTTTATACTAAGAAGAACAGTACAGACCAGCCTTTGGGCATTAAGAAGGTTCTAAAACACTTCCATCTAATGTCCTGCCAAATTCAAACATTCATTAAAGGATGGAAAGCAACTGACACTAAAACTAAATCTCATTTGTTATTTTACATGTTTATTTGAATTATTCTGCAGACTGTTAAGTTGCTTTTTAAGTAAATCCCTGTTCCTAAGTCTTTTAGTATTCAGTTCAGAATAGATGATGCTCTGATATTATACAAGTTCATAGCTCGCAATAAAAAAGAGTCCTCAAGACACCTTTTTCAGGAGCACATCTGACCTAGGTTGATTGAATCTTGTCGGGTTGTCACTGCACAGGTGTGTTTGCTTATGTGAATGCGTGTGTGTGTGTGTGTGTGTGTGTGCCAGTTTGCCACATGTGTATCCAGGCCTTGAGCAGAATGATGTTTTTTGTGTTCTTCAATCCTCTTAACAGTTTAGGAGCAAAACAACTTATGTTGTTGAGACCTGTGTTTTCTTTTCTATTATAGCTTTTCTGTGTTGTTTTGTGAATAAAAGAATAAGAAACACAGCATTTCTGCATGTATCAGCTAGAATTATTTGGCTGTTAGTTTTGTAATACCTTTCCAAGGCCAAACGAGGGAAAAAACAGCCTACAGAATAATACACTGTTTAAATGTTTGGGATTTTAAGATTTATTTTAAGAAATATCTAATGATTACCAAGGCTGCATTTACAGTATTAAAAAATACTGTAAAAGTGGTAATATTGTGAAATACTAATAAAAAAAATAAAAAATAAAAGCTTTTTTCTTGAGTTGAATTACTGAAATACATGAACTTTTCCACGACATTCTAATTTGAGATGCACCTGTATATATTCAAACAGAAAACATCACATGAATAAATTACATGATACATACACACACACACACACATATATATATTCATACATATTTTTGTATTAAACTGATACTTTTCAGCAATTATTTGAAATATAAATATTTTGTAAAATTATTAATGTCTTACCTGTCATTTTGATTAATTTAATGCATCATTGGTGAATAAATGTATTAATTTCTTCAACAAATAAGTAAATAAAATGACTGACCCCAAATCTTTGTACGGTCGTGTACACAGTGAAAAATTATATTTGTCTTACAATTTATATTATTTATACCATATATTTCTGAGAGAAGAAGTTTGCCCCCTAGTGAAGATGTATAATAACTGCAATAAGCCAGTTTTAATTTTAATTAATAATTGTACTTTAATAACAACAAAATTATACAAACAAACATCCTGTAAAGTGTTTAATTTCAGTAAATGTGCTGTAGTTGCAATTTGAAGCAGTTTACTGGAAATGAGGACTGGACTTAGACCATCCCACCCTGTGCTCCACACAGAATTCTCTGTCCCCTTTGAGGAAAATTAGAGATCCTGCAGCCACCTGTGTGAGCGCACAGGCTGAGCATTGTGTCACCCCACACCTCAGTCACCACACTTATAATTATACATACTTCAGCTGCAGTTACATGACATCTGTCCCATTACAACATTTTCCAAATTACTGTATACTTACTGTATTATTTTTGGTGTTCTTACACAGATGTGAATGACTGTGCAAACCAGCCTTGTAAGAATGGAGGCCTGTGTCATGATCTGGATGGGGACTACACCTGCCACTGCCCTTCTCCATACGTTGGGAAGCAATGCCAGCTACGTGAGTTTTTATATACAACCAATATTTTCCTGGTGGCGGTGTTTAATTTAGCCTCTTAATTTTGAATGCCATAGCCTACATTTTAGGGTGCCATATCGTTGAGTTTTGAGTGTTTCGTTACAAATCCAGAGTATCTGAGGTACAGCTAATGACTAAACCAAGTAGCAGTATGCCAGGCAAGTGTTACGATCCCATCCCCAGTCTAGGGTTGGGGAGTGGGAGTAACAGGTGAACTAAAACTTATACAGAAGAAATCAATAAAACGTGGAGGAATCACTCCAGTCCTCTGCTCCAGAAAAATGCAAACAAAACCACCTAGTTTGGCAAACTTACTTTATTTAGGAAAGCCAGAATTGTGGAAGTAATAAATGTCTTCAGGAGAGAGCCTGGCCAAAACAACAACCAAAATAGCAGCTGACTAACAGGAGGAGTACTAAATAACCTATGCGAGTAAAGGAAAAGAAATCAACAACATAAGCTTTCCTCAACTCCCTCACTAACCAAAAACAGGGATAAACAGGAGTACAAAATCAAATGGCACCCTCTCCCTACAGCTTCCAACCTAAGCACAAACCAAATAAACCAAAATGATTTACATTACCTTTTAATACCGTAACAAGAAAAGTAAGATTAAAGTAAATTTACATACACTATATCATTACAACGCAATCAGCTAGTCAACAGGGATACAACTCACTTTCAGAAGTATTCACTTAACAGATAACTATTTAATTTACCCTTTCAATCAACAGATGTCTTAAAGAGAAAACACCCAACACAAGTCTGGAGCAGGGGAGGAATGAGCCTCTCCAAACAGGGTTCACTCTGCTCTTTTGTAGCTGTGTTCCGTCTGCAGCACACTCTCTGATGAGCACCACCTGTGGGTAATTTGGAACTGCCCAGCAAGCAGAGAGTGAGAGAGATAGGAGGAGAGAGAGCACACGCACAGGGGACACATAACCACACCCAAAAGGGTGGAAAAACACCTCAACAATTACTCTTTTAAATACATACATCCTAGGGATGTAACACAAGACAATATAAAGTAGACTTCATGCCCTATTAATTGGTACTCACACTATATTATGGTGCAGGCTGCATATCTCTGTTGGGGATGGAGGAAGGTGGAATCATAGAGTCCCAGATCTCGGCTTCCTCTGTACACTCTGGCATTCTGGGGCTGCAGCACTGGGGACCGGAGCTCGCACGCCTCAATAACCAGGGCCTTGTGAATGCCTGGAGCTCCGCACCCCAAGACAAGAACCCCTGGATTGAGGTTCGCCAATCAGCCCATTTACTCAAACCTTTTTATTTTTGTTGTTGCATAAAACATGTTCTTTCATAAAATGCTCCTCTTTACTACAAGAAAAAAAAAATCCAAAACAATAGCTGGGGGATCCTTTTGAGATGTTTGTGTGACAACTGACAACAAAATAGGACAAAGTGATTCAGTTTCTTTTTGTGTACATCTGAAAAGATGTTCACACTTACTGTCCATGATTTTGACATTTTAGGTTAACATGCAGAAGAAGATGCGTCTCACTGGAATCATCACCCAAGGAGCCAGCCGCATGGGGACAGCTGAGTTTGTCAAGGCTTTCAAGGTTGCATCCAGCTTTGATGGCAAATCATACTCAGTGTACAGAGTAGATGGCCAGAGAAAAGGCAAAGTAAGAAACATTACAAATCTTGTCTTCATTATGGGTTAAAAGCTCATATTTATCCTCTTGACTATGACTCTTATTTTTTTTCAGGTGTTTTTGGGAAATACAGATAACGATGGAACTAAGACAAACATGTTTGACCCTCCCATTGTGACCCAGTATATTCGCGTCATTCCTGTGGTGTGCCGTACAGCTTGTACTCTCCGGATGGAACTTGTGGGCTGTGAGCTTAATGGTAATTGCAGTTTAATTAACTATGAATCATTATTTTTATACTAATAGCTTTTTTTCATTTTTACTCATTCTTAGCCATTTAGCACTCTCATTTTCCCTAATATGACAGTGCACTCCAGAACAATTGGTTGCACCGATCCGCTGGGCATGAAGTCCCGTCTCATCTCTGACGTGCAGCTTACAGCATCTAGTAGCTTCCGCACCTGGGGTATTGATGCCTTTACCTGGTACCCCTTCTACGCTCGCCTGGACAAACAAGGCAAGACTAACGCTTGGGCGGCAGCGAGCAACAACCGCTCAGAGTGGCTCCAGGTGAGACTGTGAGACGTTGTGTCTAATTGTTTTTTACAAAGCTGTGAAAAATAGTCCTTGAAATCATAATTCAGTTATGCTATAAAACCATCGTAACATGATATGTATAGATCTGTCTAAAGACAGTAATAACTCTCTAAATTAATAATGTACTCTATCCTATTTTTTAGCTTTGATATCAATTATTTTGTTATTTGCAGACTGTAGTCTGACATTTGTCTCTTATGTTTTAATGTGTTTTCTGTCATGTCACAGGTGGCTTTGGAGAAACCTAAAAGAATCACAGGCATCATCACTCAGGGAGCAAAAGACTTTGGAGTTGTGCAGTTTGTTTCAGCCTTCAAGATTGCATACAGTGATGATGGACAATCTTGGAGCATTGTGAAGGATCAAATAATGAGAACAGATAAGGTCACATCAATGACAATGATCTTTATTTTTATTTTATTTATTTTTATTTTTTTTATATAAATATGCACTACTGTTCTAAGGTTTGGGGTCAGTATGTAAGACTGTAAGTGACTGTTTTAATGTTTTTGAGTCTCTTATGCCTGCCAAGGCTGATCCAAAAAAAAACAAAAATTTAAAACACTAATTTTGTGAAGTATTATTGCAATTTTAAATAACTGTTTTCTATTTCAGTATATTTTAAAGTATAATTTATTCCTGTGATGACAAAGCTGAATTTTCAGCAGCCATTACTCCAGTCTTCAGTGTCACATGATCCCTCAGAAATCATTCTAATATGCTGATTTGGTGCTGATTATTGTCCATTTGAAAACAGTTTTCAAAACTGTGATACATTTTTTCAGGATTATTTGCTGAAAAGAAAGTTCAGAAGGATATTATTTATTTGAAATTGTGACCCTGGACCACAAAACCAGTCATAAGGGTCAGTTTTCTGAAAGCTGAATAAATAAGCTGATTTCCATTGATGCATGGTTTGTTTGGATAGGACAATATTTGGCCGAGATACAACTATTTGAACATTTGGAATCTGAGGGTGCAAAAAAATCAAAATATTGAGAAAATCGCCTTTAAAGTTGTCCAAATGAAGTCCTTAGCTATGCATATTACTAATCAAAAATTAAGTTTAATATATTTACAGTAGGAAATTTACAAAATATCTTCATGGAACATGATCTTTATTTAATATCCTAATGATTTTTGGCATAAAAGAAAAATCTATAATTTAGACCCATACAATGTATTTTTGGCTATTGCTACAAATATACCCCAGCGACTTAAGACTGGTTTTGTGGTCCAGGGTCACATTTTTGCAACAATGTGAAAGGATCAACTTAATCTATCCTTGCTGAATAAAATTATACAGAAGAAGAAAAAGAAAAAGAAAAAAAACGTAGCTGCCCCAAACTTTTGAATGGTAAATTTCTTAGTGTTTTGAGTTGGGTGTAGGGTGCAATATCACATGCTTTTGTTTACTGAGTACAGTAAATCTCTCTGTATGAACTTCGAGCTCTACACATTGGGATCTGGTTAGTCAGAGGAAATTAAAGAATTATCAAGCTACTAACTCAGCTTTAGTTATTTATATATAACAAAATCCTCAAAGCACACAGGTCTTACATTCAGTTCTAGTCATTTCATCTGAATAAATGAAATGTTTTTTTTTCCTGCAGATTTTCCAAGGCAACATAGACAACAACACACACAAAAAGAATTTGTTTGAGCCTCCGTTCTTTGCCCGATTTGTGCGCTTTCAGCCCTGGGAGTGGCATGAGCGAATAACTGTACGCATGGAGCTGCTGGGCTGTGATGATTAGTGGACTTGCTGAAGGCTGCACACTGCCACTCTCTGCACTTGTTTCACCTGAAGTGTGTCTGCTGGTTGTAGCTGATGTTTTGTTTCAGTATGCATTAGCTTCATCTGTATTGCTTTGTATTTTATTGTTAATCAATGCCATTATTTTGATGTACTTTGAAAAGGCCTTTGGGCACAGTGATGATTTTATGAAGTCACCTAAATAGGTCACTTAAAAATGAAAATGTGCTCACTTCCAGGCCATCTAAGATGTAGATGAGTTTGTTTCTTCATCTGAAAAGATCTGGTGAAATTTAGCATTTACCACTTGCTCACCAATGGATCCTCTGCAGTGAATGGGTGCCGTCAGAATGGGTGATATAAAACTTCACAATAATCCACAAGTAATCCACATGGCTCTAATCCATCAATTAACATCTTGTGAAGCGAAAAGCTGTGTGTTCGTAATAAACAAATCCATCGTTAATGTGTTTTTAACTTCAAGTCCTCAATCCATGTTGATTTGTCAAGTGAAAAAGTTGTCTCGTCTGAATCAGGAGAGAACTATGCACAGATCAAGCACCGTTTATAAGCAAAAACAGTCCAAAACAGTTCTAAACAAATATATTGGTGAATTTTAACATGAAAGGACAACAGGGGATGGACTGGATTTCCACTGGAGGAATTGTTATTATGGATTATGGACTGGTATTTTGGCCAGACGCA